GGCTAGACTGGGGGGGGGGTCCCCGGTGCAGCAGGAGGGGCTGCGGCTAGACTCGGGTGGGGGTCCCCGGTGCAGCAGGAGGGGCTGCGGCTAGACTTGGCCGACCTGCAGCAGGAGGAGGTCGTGGTCGATGGTGTCGGGCCGGCTGTCCGGGTGGGGCACCGCGCGGCGCACGTCGTACAGGCGCTTGGAGGGCTCGGGCTGCGACAGGGAGTGCGCGCCCAGGAGCACCTGCACCTTTCCGTCGGCCCTGCGGACCGGGCGGGGCCCACGGTCACTGCCGCGTCCCCTCCCCCCGCCCCCTCCCGCGCTGTGTGCCCCGCGCTCACGCGTCGTCCAGGCAGTGCGCGGCGCTCAGCACCCACTGCTCGGCCACCAGGACGCCGCCGCACAGGTGCTGGCCGTTCACCTGCACCGACGCCATGTAGGGCCGCGCGTGGGCCTCGGCTTCGCGGCCGCCCAGGATCCTGCCGCGGGGCTGCGCCGCTGTGGGTGGAGGGGCGGGTGTGAGGACTGCGAGAGGTCTGGGTGTGGCCGGAGCCTGGGCCAAGGGGTGAGGGGCTGGGAAGCCCCAGAAGGCAGAACAGATGGGGGACCGGGGGGACTGGGGCAGATAGAGCCACATCCTGCCCTAAAGCCTTCCAATTACAACACAAGCCACGTTTTCCACCGTAGGGTTTCAGATGAGAAAGCTCAGACTTCAGACCCCCAAGTTTGGCGAGTTCCTCGGCTTTCAGAGCCCTTCCATTTCTGGGGACTGTGCCCCGCCTTTCTGCCCACCTGGTGGGGCTGGGGGACAGTTCTGTTTGCAGGAGGGGGGCTGATTCTCCTGCAGGTTGCAGCACACACACTACCCCGCCACCTGCCCCAGGCCCGGGTCCACTCACCACACAGGTCTGTTCCCAGGAGGACCAGAACCGCCAAAAACACTGAGCTGTGCATCATGAAACCGCTGTGTCCTGGACACTGACCCAGGCGGGGCCCTGGGGGCGCTTTTATGAGGATGGGAGGGGGTGGGCAGCTCCCACGGTTCCACTTGCCAGGGGGCAGCAGCCCAGCTGGGGAAAGGGGAATCCGCCCAGCCGCGTCCACTCTCCCCGGGGGGTGGGTTGTCTCCTGCTGGACTCCCACCAAGAGTAGACGGGCGGCTGGGGGTCCCTCCTGCCTCTGTGAGTCTCGCCCAGTGCTGACCCTGGTGGGGGGCAGCCCCTGGATGGGCAGGAGGCAGAGGGGAGGGCTAGACTCACCCCCGGCCCTTACCCCAGTCTCCCACCCAGACCCAGAGTGTCCTTCCAACCCCAAAGTTTCACAATAGCAGCTGGAGACCGCAGGCTGTAAACAACCCATTTCCTCATCTTCCTACCCCTCCCTTCTTTTCTTCCTCTTCCAACAGGGAGAAAAGGTTGGTGGGGGTTGGGAGAAGGTTACCCAACACCCTTGTCCCTGTCCCTATGGCCTCTGGGCCCTGACACCCAAAAAAGTAGAATTTTGGAAAGGTGGTACGTAGGGGCAGCTGGAAAGACTGTTGGGTGCAAGTGACAGAAAAACCAAGTCAAACTGGGTGGAGCTTTTTTTATTACAACGTTAAGTGGAAAGTTCAGAGATATCTGCCATCAGGTGTGGCTTGATCTAGGTGCCTGAACAATGTTGGGTGTCTGCCTCTGTTTTCTCCTTTCCTCTCTGATGGCTTCTCTCTTCACCAGCATCCTCTATTATGGTTTTAGGGACCCCAGATTCACCCCAGTGGCTCAGTCAGTCCCTCCTAAAATTCCCCATCCTCCAGCCAGTCTCAGATCTGCTTCTGATTGGCTGAGCCTGGGTCACATGTTCCCTCCCAAAACACTCACTGTGGGCAGGTTGTGATGAGCAGAATCTGGGTCACATGGCCCCCTGTGAGGTGAGGGTCAGAACCTCAGGAACCCATGGGGTGCAGGTGCTGGGTCTAGAGGACACGGGCACCATGCATGGGGGGGAGGACCTCAGACACCTCCAGCAGGGACAGGGCACAATATTTTCCCTCTACTTCTGTTCGCCATGGACTATTTCGTACATGCAGAGAAGAACAGAAAATAATATGACAGATGTGATTTGTTAGATCCTAACACGTTTCCTTATTAAGACCCAAAACTGAACAAAAGCCCATTAGGGGGCTGGCGGTTGGCTCAGGTGGTTAGAGCGCCTGTTATAGCGTCAAGGTCAAGGGTTTGGATCCCCATAGCAGCCAGCTGCCAAAACAAGCAAACAAGCCTATTAGGATATGGGGGGTCCAGATTATGTAAATAAGAATGTTAGGAATTGGGCCCAGATGCTGCGTCGAGGTGGAAAGACGTCCAGGGGGAATCATTAAGTGGAAACAGCACAGGTCGCCTCTGTGCAGCTGGAACCTGAGGGGACATGAGACAGGGGAGCTGCCCAGGGGACAATCTGTGGGAAGGGCAGGCCGGGTGGAGGGAACGGCACAGGCAAAGGCCCTGAGTGGGACGCAGGTGGGTGAGCTCGGGCGGGGAGGCCTTGGGACAGGGAGCAAAGAGGGGGAGAGGTTTATTCCAGGCTTTTTGCGGGGGCGGGACCCGTGCTGCCTGATGGTGTTTCTGTTCTTTGCTCGCTTGGGGGGTTGTTTCCTCCCCCATCAGACTGTGAGCCGCAGGCTGGCACAGGCCATGTCCGCCATAGTCCTGGGGCTGCGACCTCCATTAGGGCTGGGGGTTGCCTTGGGAAACATCGATGCTGCCTCCCCCCAAACCCAGGCTCCTGACCACACTTTCCACCTCCTTGGACCTGCCTTGAGGGCTGCGGAGAGGGCTGGAAGAGTGAACACCTGCAAAGACTCGGAACGATTCCCGTACCCTGTCAGTGCTCGATGAACACCGGCTACACGGCTTTACGGCATCACACCTGCCATGCTAATTAGGTGAAAGTGGGTTTTAAAGGACAGAAACCAGAAATGGCATCTGGGATCCTTTTGTAGAAAGTGAGAGAGGGATTCACATCTTGCCCCACGCCCTGACTTTGCCGCCACCTGGTGGCAGCGTACTCAAGAGATGCCCAAGACACCCTACTGACATTTTCAACACTCAGTTGCGCAGCCAATGACCAGACACGTTCTACAAAACAGAGGATTTTTTATTGTGGCGTGTGCTGGAGAGTGTGGCTGTGGACAGCTGGGGTGGGGCGACAGAGACAGCCCTTAGAAGGTCCTGCTAGCAGGGTCCCTGGGGTGGGGAGGGGGGCCGTCATCCTGGCGGCCGATGATGGAGTTGATCCAGTTTGCAAACTGTGCCACTGGAGCGAAGGCGTCTGGGTAGAACCCAGAGCCACAGCCTCCTCGGATGAAGGAGTCAATTCCGTAGACCAGCCCGTTGCAGACCAGGGGGCCGCCAGAGTCCCCCTGTGGAGGACAAGATCAGAAGGCTGGACTACAAACCTCCCACCCACCCACCGCCCTGCAGGGCTGGGGAGTGCTTCCTGGGGTCGGACTGCAGTCCCCGAAGCCATGGCGGGTGGGGAGGCAGGGTACGTACGAAGCAGATGCCAGCCTGCCTGCGCCGCACCAGTGTGCACACGTTGGTACGGCGGCAGAGGGACGTCACCACGGTCACATTGAGCTGCTGCAGGACGTTGGGCGCTGGCCTGTTCGTGCCCAGCCGGCCCCAGCCCATGGCCAGGCACCGTGTCCCGTTGCCCACACCTTCATCCTGGGCTGGCAACCGGGCCACCTGCACATTGGCGTTGATGGTGGCAGACCCATTGAGCTGTGGCGGGTGGGACAGGGCACCCAAGCGTCACGAGAGGCAGTGGGTGACCACCCTCCCCTCCCTGGGCCTCAGTTTCCCCATCAGTTTCCACCATGGTTCTGGGATCTCACGGAGCGGGACACCTACCCTACAAGCTGCTCCCAACCCTGAACCTCAGTTTCCCCATCTGGGAAGCGAGAGCAACCACAGTGGCTCAGGGCATTGTTGGGGGTCAAACTGGATGTGGCTTGAGTGCAGTAAACAGTAAGTGCTCAATAACACAATAAAACCCTGCTAAGCCTTCCCAGAGAACAATAGTAACTTCACAAGCAGGTGCTGGGGTGCAGAGGAGTTTCTGCTTTCCGTCTCCCTCCTGCCCCAAAGGTGGGGACTTTTGCCCCGTTTCTCAAGGACAGGGACTGTCCCTGCCTCGGCCACAGGACTGGTGAGTGGAGGGGCACAGCATATAACAACCCCGACGGTGTGTTGACCGGCAGTTGTGCAGCGCTTCCCCGCACTGTCTCGCTCAGTCTCTCGGCAGCCTGTGGGGTGTTCATTTCCCCATTTCACAGAGGTGGAGACTGAGGCACAGAGGGGGATCATCCGCCGCTTTGGGGCCCAGGTTCACCCCAGGTCTGTCGCTGTGGATCCTACAATCTGCCGCTACGTGTCCCCAGCTTTGCACCTGCTGCTGCCCTACCTGGGCATCCCTTCCCTGCCCCCGCCGGTCGCACCTGGAGGATCACGATGTCGTTTAGCAAGCGCGACGGGTCGAAGCCGTTTTCAAAGATCCGCTGGACGGAGAACATCTGCCGGGTGGGCTCCTGCTGCCGCAGGTTGTGCGCACCCAGCACCACCTGCACCGACCGGAAGTTTCTGCAGGCAGGGGGGAGGGGAGGAGGCAATTGGGGTGGCCCCAGAGGTTCGGAGGGACCCCGGAGCCTGGGAGGTGCCTCCACGTTATGTGCCTGAGGGAGGCTTGTGCCCTACGGGCCTAGAGGGAAAAGGGCACTGGAGGGAGGTCCTTGTGGCACAGGACAGGCCCGCTGGGAGGAGCCCCGGGTCCCTGGTCTCACCCCCCCAGCTGACAGACGTGGAAACTGAGGGTCCAGTAGGGGACTGGGGGCTCCTGGAGACTCACAAGCCGTTCACGCAGTGGGCCGCCGACATGACGAAGTTCCGGGCGATCAGGGTGGCCCCGCAGAAGTGACCTCCGCGCCGCTGCAGGGACACCATGAAGGGCCACGCGTGCGGCCGGGCTGGCTGGCCACCCACAATCTCTGAGGCCAGCGCAGGGCCTGGGGACACGCAGGGGTGCGGGGTGGTAAGTGCCTGCTAAGGAGCCCCTCCCTGCCTGGACACTTGGCCCCCTGAGCCCCCACCAGGAAGCAGCCGGGTCAGGACTCTTCACACCCCCTGTTGCCCAGATGAGGAAACCGAGGCAGAGAGAGGCGAAGGGACCTGCCTGCGGACCTCCTGCCAGGGCGCAGGCAAGTCTGGGCTTGAACCAGGCTCCGAGTCCCCAGAGGGCGCCCAGTGCCCGCAAAGTTCAAACCCCAGCTCTGGGTGTCTGGTGGCAGCCTAGCCGCTCGGAACCTCAGTCTTACCCTCTGGTCTCCTCATCCCAGCTGTCACCTCCCCACGAGGATGAGGGGACACACTGACTGAGGGCACAGTGAGGAGGTGGTAACCGACACCGAGGGACAGATGGACAGGCGGGACTCAGGACAGGGGCCCACTCACCACACAGCAGCAGGAGCAGCAGGACACAGGCAAGGGCAGGGCTGGAGGATCGGCGGCCGGGGGTCATGGTGGGGCTGCGGCTTTGGGGTCTCTGCCCCCCGTGCCCACCCTGCCCCTCTTATACCCCATGAGGGAGTCCGTTACGGTTGCCCCACGGCCGGCCAGGTGTCCCCACTTCCTCCCCCTGGGACACAAGGGGGTGACGAGGAGGAGGGGTGGGGTGTGCAAGAGGCCAGGGCAGGCTCGAGAAGGGTCACCAGATAAAATTCAGGAAGCACAATTAAACCCGAATGTCAGAACATCAACTTTTCTTTAAGAGTGTCCCAAATATCACATGGGACAAACTTGTGTACAAAATTAGTCTGCTTTTCTGGCACTCAGATTTACCTGGGCGTCCTGTATTTTTGCTAAACCCGGCAAAGCTAGACCTAAGGGACCTTGACTGGGTACACCCCACATGCCTCAGTTTACCCAGGCCACTATAATCGCGGTGACACGTAACCATATTGAGCATTCGCAGTGCCCAGCACTGTCCTGACATTCCTCAGGGGCAACAGGGGACTGCTGGGTCCCCATTTGACATGAGGGAACTGAGGCATTTCGAGAGAGTTGCCTACTCAGGGGCGAGGCGCGAGAGCTGTGATTTTAACCCGCGCCCCCAGGAGTCACGGCTGGACGGCGACTCGACAGCCTCCACCCAGAGGGGCTGGTGGCAGATCGTGAGCGCAGCGTGCGGGGGGTCCCCACGGCCCAGCCCCAGCCCCCACCCCCGTTCCTCTTCCAGTCTCCCCGAGGACGGTCCCGCTGCAACGGCCGCAGCCAGGGCTGTCGCAAGAAACAACGTCCTCCTGGCTCTGGGACAAGGCTTAGGGGAGGGACCCAACGGACCAGTCTCCAGGAACAGGCGGGGCAGGGGCACGCGAGGACATCCAGAGCCTGGGCTGGAGTCATATCGTCCCAGGGTCCCCCCGATCTGCGACCCTGGGCAGGTGAACCCCCATACCTCTTGTGTGGGCAGGACCGCCCTGCTCTCCCACAGGAGAGCACACAGCAGGCTCAGTCCTTTGTCCCTAGTTTGGTCACCACGAACTGGTCTTGCCTCATCCTCTTCTGCCGGGGTCCCCACCCTGCTGCCTTAACGTCACCGTAGAGCGCTTAGCAAGCACTGCTGTGTACGCAGCTCCGTTTCAAGTCCGGGGATGGGGAAAGTGAAGGAGGCCGCGTTTTGGAAGGGAAGGGGCTTGGCTCTGACAGGGAGACCAGACTGAACCACAGCTGCACTTATGGAGCTCCACTTGTATACTCTGCTCACACATGCCGTGGCGGCTGTGTGTCAACTGTGGGTTCACATCCCAGTCCTGTCGTGACCACTCGACCGCTGAGTAACTTCGGGCCACTGAATTAACCCCGCTGTGACTCGGTTTTTTCCTCTGTATAATGGAAGTTGTAGGTTCCCTCTCATGGAATTGTCACAAAGATTAAATGAAGTAACATTCGTAAAGTTCTTACATACAAAGGTGCTGTCTAAGGGTTTGTTAAGCCACCACCCCACGCAAGGTAGGACGGTGATTGCCCGGGGGACATAGGCTGTGAGGGGCATGTGGGGGCTTCTGGGAGGCTGGGCATGTCCTAAGATCAGGGTGGCGGTAACGGGGCTACACACAGGCAAAGAGTCATTGAGCCTACGATTATGACGTGTGCACATTACTTGGTCTAAGTCACACCCCAATAAGAAAATAGATTTGCCCATTTTCCGCCTGAGACCTCAGTCCCTGGGGGGCTCTTCCAGTCTCAGTTGCAGAGCATCCTACCCACTATTCCTGTGGGTCTATCGTTCCCTGAATTCGATGTTGTTTTGTTTTTTTAATCTTGGCAGCTGGCGGACGTGGGGATCCAAACCCATGACCTCGGTGGCGCGAGGCTGCGCTCTAACCACCGGCGCCAGCCAGCAGCCCTGCCACTCCCTGGAGCTCAGCAACCCCAGCCAACCCCTAACACATCGATCCGGCGCTCCCAGGTGCCTAATCTCAGGTCTCCCACCCAGGTTTGATCTTTGTGCTCTTCCTTCCAGAACTTTCCTCTGAATCATCTTTCACTCACATGAGCTCATAGAAAACTGGTTTTTGTGTGTTTTTTCTTTGGTGAGTCTTTCTGTTCCAATCAATGAGCTCCCTCCGACATTCCTTCCAGCAAGTGTCTTTGACTCCCCAATGCTGGGCACCAAAGGGTCCCTCTGGGTCTCACAGAAGCCACCATGGAGTTCCTGGCATCGCCTGACATTCATCCACATGCATTTCCCACGCTTCAGCCGCGTCTCCGCACAGGTCTGCTCCTGACGATGCTGCTCCTCTGCGGGGGTGGTCAATTGAGGTTTGAAAGTGTTGAAGAGGGGACAGACCTGGGTGTTCTTGCGCTGGCTGGAGTTGGCACGCTGCCACCAGGTGGCGGCCGAGTAATCAGTAAAGGAGGTGCTGCCTTCCGCCTGGCAGCATGTCCTGGAGCAAGTCGGCGCCTCTCTCTGTGGCGTGTGTGGCCACTCGCCCTCCACGGGGGGTCTATGATGACCCCTCCCCCTTCCCTGCCTTAGACTTCCCCTCTGTGCCTGCCTCGCCGCTACCAGGGGGACCCCTTTCCTGCCTACTTCTCCCATGAGAAAGAGTCCGCGCCCTCGCTGAGGCAAGTGTCCCCGCTGCGGCAAGTGTCCCCACTGCTCGGGCCTCATCCCCCCAACTGCTCTCCTTCCCCACCCCACTCGCCCTGCTGGTTGGTTCCTGACGGAGTCTTCGCCCCGGCGGTGCCCCTGCCTGGCGGGCCTCCTCTAAGTTTCTACTCACACTTTGGCAGTCAGCTCGGGCACTGCCACCTCCTCCAGGAAGGCCCCTTGACAGTGCCTCTGCATGCCCCTGGCTGGATCAGGAGCCCTTCAGGCCCCGTCACAGCCTTGACCAACCCATGTTATCACACCTGGTCCTCAAGGAGCCCCCGAGCTGGGAGACACAGAGCTGGGTCCCCTAGAGTCAGGGCGGGGTCCGTTCTAGGACATGTCTGGGGTGACTCCGTTTTCCAGATGAGAAAACTGAGGCACAGCAATGAGTAGCAACTTGCCCAGGGCCATGCTGGCAGCCTTTGTGGGCATCTGCAGTGAGACCCACTGTGACCTGGGTCTTCCAGGTCTCGGCTCCAACTCCCCCCAACCCTCAGTCCGGGGTTCGGGGACTCGGATCCAGGGGCCCTCTGGGCAGCTCTCCCCCCATTGCCCTGCGTGGGAAGGACAGACAGGAGACAGGGGGTTTCAACTTTTATTGACATCAGTCTGGGGCAGGTGCAGGGCTGGCCTGGCTCCCGATGGCCCCATGGGATGGAGGAAGATGGTGACTGGGACAGGCAGGGGCAGCCCCAGGACCGTCCATGGGCAGAAGCAGGAAGAAGCAGCTTCAGGAAAAGATCCGCGTCTGCCCAGAGTTCTCCCTTTAGGGCTTGTCCCCCGGCCTCAGAGTTGGGGAGGGGGTGCGTGGGCGGGACGGCTCAGGGACTGCCGTGGCCCCCCTCTCTGCGCAGCACCGACTGTATCCAGTCCACGTAGAGGGCCACTTTAGCAAAAAAGTCAGGGTACTGGCGGGTCGCGCAGCCCTGGATCACGAAGGAGTCCACACCCTGCAGGACGCCGTTGCAGATCAAGGGGCCACCAGAGTCTCCCTGGGAGGGCGGGGACGGGATGGTCAGTCACCCAGGCTGGGCTGAGGCGTGGCCGTGTCAGGGAAAGGGGGCTGGGGATGGCCACATGCTGTGTCCAGTCTAGATTTTCTTTAGAACGTGTGAATGAGAGAGAGGCCGCTCTGGAGGACGGGATCACTTAGTAGCCTCCTGCTGGATGCCTGGGCCGCTGGACTGCGGGTGGGGCCCCAGGAGGAGGAGGATGGGTCCGCCACGCCTTCCCGTGCTCCGTGCTCCGAGAGGGCTCAGGGTGAAGAGAAGGCCCCAGACCCACGAAGGCGGCAGGACACGCGCGAGCGTCTGCTCTGTGCCTGGGCGTGGCTGTTCCCCGCCCCGCCCCGCTGCAGCCTCACGGGGGACGCGCCACCTTCCAGGTGAGGAGCCGAGGCACCGAGCGCAGCTGCATGGTCAGGAGGTGGGACTTGCCCCGCCGGCCCCCCGTCGCCCTTCCCTGGACGGTGGTCCCGGAGCCCCTCCCACTCCAGGGCCGGGGTACGTACAAAGCAGATGCCAGCGCTGCGACGGGGCACCAGCGTGCACACGTTCTGCGGCCGGCACAGGAAGGTGACCACAGTGACATTGAGCTCCTGCAGGACCCGGGACACTGCGGCGTGGGTGCCCAGGCGCCCCCAGCCCATGGCCAGGCACTGGGTGCCCTGGGGCAGCTGCTGATTCTGCTGCGGCAGCTGGGCCACTGCGACCTCAGCGCGGAGGGTGGCTGGGCGGTCCAGCTGGAACGGGGCATGGGCAGCGGTGAGACCCTGTCCCCAGGACCCTGAGGCCAGCCCCTCTTCGAGCCCACCCACCTCCTGACCCCTCCCACCACACCATCGCCTCAAAGGGCCTCCCTGGGGCCTCTGCACGTGCTGTGAGCTCTGTCTGGACCCCACGGGCCTCCCCTTGTGGCATTTGTCACTCATGATCACATTCATTCATTCACAAAGCACTTATTGGGTGCCAACTGTGTAAGTCTTGTTCTAAGCCCCAAGGGTCCAGTAAGAACGCGGACAAAGTCTCGTGGCCTAGTACACAGTAGGTGTTCAATAGGTGTTTGCTGAAGGAATGGGGGACCCACGAGCCCTGCTGGTCCCACCCCTCCGAGCTCCCCAGGTCCCCCAACCTGTACAAGGAGGATGTCATTGAGGCTCTGCTCCGGGTCATAATTGTTCCCAAACAGGCGAGTGATGCTGAACCTCTGCTGGGTGGGCTCGGGGGTCTGCAGGTCGTGGGCCCCCAGCACTATGCTCACCTGGTTGTGGGGGCTGAGGGATCAGGGTGCTCATTTTAGGGGTATCCTGGGCTTGGGATCCATCAACCGGGCTTGAGCCTGACCCTCCCCGGACAGGTGGGACCGTGCGGAGGGCCCCCCGCCCGCCAGCCTCCCCTGGGCAGGGCCGGGCCTCCCCCGCGGCCCCGCTCACATTTCCTGCAGGCAGTGGGCGGCGGTCAGCACGAACCGCGGGTGAATCAAGGTGCCCCCGCAGAAGTGGCTGCCCGGGGTCTGCAGCAGCTGCAGGGACGCCATGTAGGGCCGCGAGTGGGGCTGCGCTTCCTGCCCACCCACGATGTCGGCGGCCCGGGCTGCACCTGCGGGACACGGGTGGTAAGAGCCCACAGTCTGGGGGGACAGCAGAGCGGCTGGGCCACCTCCACGCAGTCCCTGACTGCTCTGAGCTTATGTCTCCCCATCTGCATCATGGGCATCCCGTGGCACCCAGCCCCGGTGGGCTGGTGGGAAGCAGGGCTCCGTGCCTGGGGTGGGGGCACCAGGTCCTGGCGGTCAGCACGACTATCGTCCCTGGGGGCCGGCTCCTAGTCCTGAAGGGTGGGGAGGTTTTTGAGAAGCAGAAAAAATAAATAAACAAAAATAGCCGACACACGGACCCATTTTGCAGAAGGACAAACTGAGGTATTGAAAATCCTCTTCAGGTGAGGACTGGAGGGGTCCCTCGCTCCTGCTCTCCCCCGACACCAGTGTCACCGACTCAGCGACTTCATTTATTCATGGCTACCCAGGAGTACTGAGCGCTCACCGTGGCTCAGGCACTGTCCGGGGAGTCGCTTGTCACATTTAATCCTCACCACGCCGCCCTCCCAGGGAAACACCGGTTTCTGCCCATTTTTAAGGGTGGGGAACTGAGTCGAGCTGCCCAGGGCTGCCCTTTTCTCTCACCCTCTCCTCCCTGGAGGCATCAGTCCCAAGCAGCGAAGGGAGTCCTGCCCTGGGCCTGCCTCGGTCCCCCGGTCCCCCGGCTGTGACAGGAGGGTGTTGGACTCGACCTCGTGGGGGCGACAATCCCCCAGAATCAGCCGAGTGCACGCGGATGGGCGGATGGCCTGATGGCCTCACTCACCACCCAGCAGCAAGGCCAGCAGGACACAGGCGAGGGCAGGACCGGAGGCTTCGCGGTGACACGCCATGGTCTGGCTCCAGGGTGCCCCCTGCCCGCTCCTCTTATAGCCTCCACACGGAAGGTCGTTGGGGTGTCCCGTGGCCAGGCCAGGCGTCCCCACTTCCTCTTTCCACCTTGGGGCCACGGAGAGTTTGGGGTCAGAACCAGACACCAGGATGTAGGGGACTTCAGGCTCAGGGTCCCGATTTTCCCTGGGGCTGTGAGAAGCTGGCTCCTGCGCACCCCATGCTGGGGGTCCCTGGACAAATGGGCAGCCTGGCCACAGCCCTTGGGGTGACACAAGCCCCCCACTCGCATCCAAGGAGATGCCTCCCCGGCATGGTCCCAGCAGAATGGGGCATTGCTCGTGTGTCCAGCGGCTGGGGCAAGCCTAAAACCACTGTGAAGCCCGCCTTAGCTGGGGACAGGACAGGACAAGGGAATGGGGGAAAGGTGGGGGACAGAGCCACATGGATCCTGAGACCCACAGAAACACCTTCTCTCCAGCTTGAGGATTCACGTTTCTCCTGGAGGGCAGTGGTTCTCAATGAAGCCACAATCCTGTCACCCCCCATCCAGAGGACACTGGGCAATGTCTGGGGACATTTGAGGTTGTCACAACTGGGAGTGCTCCTGGCACAGAGAGGGTGGAGGCCGGGGACGCTGCTCAGCACCTGCAGTGACCAGGACGCCCCGGCACAGAGAGTGGCCCAGCCCCGCGTCCACAGTGCCGGTGGGGGAAGCCACAGTGCAGAGGAGATATTTATTTATTTATAAGTGACTCGTTTTTAAAAATTTTTTTTGGTTTTTATTTTTTGTTCACTCTTTATTCTTTTTGTTTTTATTTATTTTTCACTTCTCTTTGACTCATCATTATGAAAAATTTAAACCTAAAAGAGGAGGTCCCTAAACTTGGGGACAAAAAAACCCACTTTTTTAACGTTTTCCTTTTTTAAGTTTTTTTATTTTTATTTTTTGGCAGCTGGCCAGTGTGGGGACCCAAACCCCTGACCGTGGTGTGAGCACCACTGTAACGTTTCATTTTGAAATGATTTCACGTTTACAGAAGTCCACAGGGCCCCCGGTTCACCTGCCCCGCTCCCTGAATGTTGTCATCTCACACAACCGAGGGGCCGCGGTGGAAACCAGGGAACGGTCATCGATTCAACACGATGACCTCATCCACAGACCTGAATGTCCCCAGTTGTCCTTTTTCTGGTCCAGGATCCCACGTTGTGTCGTGTTTCTGGCTCCTTGGTCTCCGGTCAGGGACGGTTCTTCGGCCCTTCCTTGCCTCTTGAGACTGTTGGGCAGAACGGGTCAGTCACTCTGTAGGGGGGACCGAGGGACCCCACAGCTGCAGCACGTGTCCTCCTGGGACCGTGTCGTGAGGCTCGGGTGTCCACGTGTGTCATGCTGACGGTGTTAGCCTTGACCACTTGGTTGGGGTGGCGCCTGCCGGGTTCGTCACTGTCGAGCTGGGATCCTCCTGTCTGGCTTTAATAAGTCTCTTGTGGGGGAACTTTTGAGACAAAAACAGCCCGTTTCTCCCACGTCCAGGACTCGGGGTTGGGCGCGTGGCTGTGCTGCCTCATCCCTCCTGCGCCCGTTGGCTGGAATTCTACTCTAGGGACAGCCCGTCCCTTCTCCGCGGGTGCATTTTTAAGAATCAGACACCTGCCCGTCCCTGGGGAAGAGCCCTGCCATGTGCACCCACGAGGGCCCTCCGCAAGCTGGGGTGAGCTGCTCCGCCTGCCGGGACTCAGTTTCCCCACCTGGAAAGGGAGATGATAATGGAGTGGTTGATGGATTCGACTTTTGGAAAGTGCTGGGCACTGGGTGGGGCCTGACAAGCCCGGGTGCCAGCCTGCAGGGCTACTGCTGGCGGTGGCGTGCTTTCTCCCGTGACCACGGGAACGTCCTTCCGCAGCCGTTCCTCCCGTCACTGGGCATCGGGGCAGCGGGACGGGGTAGCTCTGCCTCGTTTCCAGGCTGTCCCCCGGGAGGCCCCTGCGGCTGCTTGCCCTGGGCTCCGGTGCCCACTGCCTGGCTTCGAATCCTTCTGTGCTCTGTGATTCTGGGCTGGAAACCACCTCTCTGCACCTCAGTTTCCCCATCTGTCAAATGGGGACGGTGAGAACAGCCCCACCTCCCAGCGGCTGTTAAATGACTTAATACAAACAAAGGCACAAGAAACCAAATGTCCGTGCACGGCTGGGCGGACACACGCGGCTCGGCCCCTCCATGCGCTGGAACCGTCACTCAGCCAGGAACAGGAACGAGGCTCTGCCACATGCTGCCACGGGGATGGACCCTGAACACGGCACAGTGACAGACGCCAGACACAAAAGGCCACAGTGCGTGACTCCATTGACACGAAATGTCCAGAACAGACCGATCCTCAGGGACAGAAAGTGGGTTCCTGGTTGCCAGGGGCTGGGGGGTGACCGCTGAGGAGGACGCGGCTTCCTTTCTGGGTGGTGGAACATTCTGGAGTCAGGTAGACGCGCTGGGGTGCGTCAGTGTAGCCAATGCCCCTGAACTGCTGCACAGGGGGATGGTGGGCCGTGGGGAGTCATCTCAATAAAGCTGCTCACAGAAGACAGAAAAGAAAGGAAACGCGCAACCCTGCTGCATCAGGCAAGCAAGTGGCCGGGAGGTGCGCGGGGACCTGGGCTCCTGGCTGTGCGTGTGCTCACTTCAACGCCGGCCTCCACCCGAGGACGACGCTCACACGGAGCCTCCTGGAGGTGGCGTCCCCCGACGCCCGGAGCCAGGTGGGCGCGGGGTGGGCACCTGGGGGTGGCTCCTGGGGGTGGAGGGGACAGGACGTCAAGGGCGCGGAGGTGGGGTGGGGGGACGGGAGCCCGGGGGGTTGTCACAGGGAGGGGGCTGCGGAGCGCTCTGGGGGCCTCTGCGGGGGTCAGGCTGGCGGCTGAGGGAAGTGGGGCTGCAGGCTGCGGCCTCGGCCCCTTCCTGCAACAGCTGTGGTGGCGAAATAGGCAACGGCCACCATGGGGGCCCCAGGACCGACGGGAGACCGAGGGCAGGGAGGGCACGAGGACTCGGGCCGGGGGCCTCTCTCCGTCTCGGTCTCTGTCTGTCTCCATCTGTCTGTCTCTGTCTCTCTGTCTCTCGGTCTCGCTTTCTCTTCTCCTTAAGAAAGAGGCTCTTTTCTTGAGTGATGGGAAGTTGTCTGTTTTACCCACCACGGCTGGGCCCTCGCAGTGGGCATATTTTTGTGCCAATTGGAGACCTTCAAACGTGCACACATGCGGGTCCCCAGACCCCCTGGGCACCCCGACGGGTCCTCTAGCCTCCAACCCAAGCCCGTCCACCTGCACCCCTCCGTGGCCCCCTCTCACGTGATGTGTCAGCCCCCCAGACACTTCACAATCTGCATGGAGAATTCACAAAACTAACAGCTTTACAAAGAATCAGTGAGTGGCACGCGGGGTGGTGGGAGAAACGGGGCCTGGATAGCGGGACATGGGGCAGAGGGATGTGTCTGCGATGGGGTCCCAACCTGTATCCCTAGAATCCGAAGCCTGAGAGGGCGCAGGGCCTATGTCACCCAGCAGTGTGCACACACAGGACCCCGAGCTGGGCTGACCCGCTGCCAGGTGGACCCAAGCCCAGCACCTCCCTGCTCAGGACAGGAAGGGAGCGCCGCGGCTGGGGGAAGACGGGCAGGAACTGCCCCAGCGGGGGGTCCCTTGGGACAGAGTCTGCTCCCAGCCTGGGGGACCACACGCTCTTGGAACCCATCCCACCGCCCAACTCCAGGTTTGTCATCTGGGCAATGAACGGCCGTGTCTCCAGCAGGGGCCCTATGACGTCTGGATTCCTGAGCCTTTTTTACTACTGGCTGTCATTATTCTGTCTTTATTTTTTTTAAATTTAATTTAATTTTATTTTATTTTATTTTGTCCTTTTTTGAGACCAGCCGCACCGTGCTCAGCCAGTGAGCGCTGTGAGCGCACCAGTCATCCCTTTTTATTTTTTAAAAGACAACCGGTAAGGGGATCGCAACCCTCGGCACGGTGTGGTCTGCGGCCATCCCTATATAGGATCCAAACCCGCGGCCTCGGCGCTACCAGCGCTGCACTGTCCCGAGTGAGCCGCGGGGCCGGCCCAGGGCTCACTCTTAACCCTTGACCTGGTGTTGTCAGCACCACGCTCTCCCAGTGAGCGACCGGCCAGCTCTAGAAACTCTTTATATATTAAACTTATTACAATTATATGTTATTATATGTTGTTAAAAATATATTCACATGGTCCTGATAGCACCAAAGTCTGGCGTTTGATCCCTGTATCAGCCAGCCACAAAATACACACACACACACACACACTCAAAATACTGCATGTAAAATGCAATATGAGGGTTTGAAATTTTTATTTTAATAAAGACATTTTATCTAGTTTAATACAATTATATATGACATAACTACATTGTTATCTATACCACTTATATATACAATTACACTTATTATTTAATGGTCATATTTTAGCTCTTTATGTATCAGGCACATTAGCCGTCTGTGATCCAAGTGGCCAATATTGTTTCCAGGTTTCCCGTGCATGCTGCTGCACAAAATAACCTCCACCAAAAGGAGAGGGGGTGAAGGGGCCCCGGGATCGCATAGATCTGGGTTCAAAGTTCACACAAGCTCTGTGACCTCAGGTGAGTCACCGAACCTCTCTTAAACTCAGCATCCCCTCTGCCAGGTGGACGTAACGACAGTCCCTGTTTCTCAGCATCTGTACAATTACCACGCATGGGGCGATGCCCCTAATGCCGACTAATGTTCCATTCACCCTCCCCAGAGCCACGGGGCCTGTCTCCCTCCCAGCCCCTGTCTACCCTGGTGAAGCAGAAATCAGGAGCAGAGGAGAAATGGCTTCTTTATTAGAGTCACGAGTACAAGGGCTGGGGGCGGGGGGCAGGCCTGGAGGTGTGGGGACATGCGTAGTGCCCCAGGATACGAAGGTCAAGGCTGGGTTCCACAGCAGGTCACAGGCTCCGCACGGCTTGACGGGGCTTCCCTCGGGCCAGCACGGGGGTTGAGGACACTATCGATCCAGTTTCGGAAGCGTGCCACGCAGGTGAAGAAGTCGGGACCCCGGCCACAGGGCTCCATGGTGAAGGAGGCCACGCCGTGGGCCAGACCATTGCAGATGAGGGGGCTGCCCCCGTCACCCTGGGTGGGCAGCAGGCATGTCAGGGTGTCCCAGGCCCTGCTCCACCCCGCCCCCCAGCCAGCACCACTGAGCAGACAGCTGCTCCCACAACTTCCTGCTCCTGGAATCACAAATCCAACCCCAGGCCCTTTGCACGCTCTGTTCCCGCTCTCTGCTTGCTGTTCCCCACAGCCTTCGCCTGGCTAACCCCAAGTTGAATTTTGGGTCCCAGATGACTCCAGGAACTTCCTGACACCCCCAGGCTGGGTCAGGTGCCCCCCGAGGCCCCTGGCAATCACAATGTCTGACAGACCCCACACTTCTGGGTCTGGGAACTACAAAAAGGCAGGCCCTGCTCTGTCTTGTTCCCTGGGGTGTCCCCAGGCCCCAGATCAGGAGTTGGTACACGGTAGGTGTTTAATAAGTGCTGTTTCTCTGTTTCTCAAGTTAAAATGCTCAATCCTGCTCCCCACCGCACCCCAAGTCTCCTTTGACCTGGACTCGCTTTCTCCTGCCACTGGGAGCTCGAGTCCTCGCATGACGCCTCCTCCCGCCATGAGGAGCCCACGCTGGGTCTGCACCCGGCCCGGCCATACCTGGCAGATTCCACCCCGGTGGGTGAGCACACCGGTGCACACACTGTTGGGGCGACAGCGGTCTTTGGGGGTCACGGTCACGTTGACGACCCTTGGGAAGCGGGACAGACGTCCCCCAGTCCGCCAGGTCCCCCAGCCGGCCACCTGGCAGCTAGTGCCGGCTTCCACAGTGACATTCTGCTGGGTCAGCGGCACCAGCGCCACGTTGCTGGTGAGGTTGGCCTCACGGTCCAGCTAGGGAGGGAAACTGAGTCAGGGGAGAGAGGAACTAGGGGGCCTCACGGGGCCGCAGCTAGGGACAGAAGTGGCAGCAACATGAATTTTGAGGTTTGAGTGCAAATCCCGGCTCGGGAAGTAACCTGCTGTGGGATGCTGGCCAAAGCCCTCTCTGGGCCCCTGGTTCCTCCCCCACAGAAAAGGAATAACAAATCATTCCTACCACAAAGGTGGTCTGGTGCATAAAAGAAGACCCTGAACGCAAAAGGGCTTACCCTGGAAGTGCAGATACAAACAGCAAGGCCAGCCGGCCACAAAAAAGTTAAAAAATCATAATACCCAATGTCAGTGAAGATGTGGGAAAATGGGCAGTTTTAAATTCTGCTGTAGCGGAGGGTACATTGGTCTGGTCATTTTAGTTGCCCGGGGTGGAGGAATTTTTGTAAGAACAGCGTACGAAGGAGTTCCCCGTGATTCTGTTATAACAAAAACCCTTGGAAACAGCTTCAGCGTCCCCCACAGGGGCTAGATAAGCGGCCTGTGGGGTGTCTCAGGACGTTTGCTGTATGTTTTAAACCATCAAAGGAAACACACACGTAAGCTCCCCTCTCCCTTAGGCCCCTCGGGTGGCGCCCCCGCCCCCAGGGCGTCTCCACCTGCAGCAGGAGCAGGTCGTTGAGGTTCTCCTGGGGGTCGTAGCCGTTCTCACTGATGGTCCTGATGGAAAATGTCTGCCTGGAATTCTCCCGACGCCGCAGGTCATACGCTCCCAGCACCACGGTGGCAATTCCAGGGTTCCTAAGGATTGGGGAAACACCAGGCTGGGGACAGCCCCCAACCTTCATGTGCACCCTGGGGCCCGGGCACTGGCGGAGGGGGCCAGGCTTGCAAATAAGGTGGGGGCTGGGGGAGCGTAATCACGAGGCCTCCTTCCTAAGCCCCCTTAACTCCCTTCGTTTTACAGAGACCCTCCAGGGCTCGCCCCCAGCCCCCGCCTCTTCTGTGAGCATCCCCCTATCCGAATCCTTCAATACCTTTCTTGGGGTCCCCTTTCCCTTCCCTGGCCCCCCGCTTTCCTCCCTAAGCCCGCTCCCCACCCCGCGCCCCCTGCCCTGGACCCCCTCACCGGTTGCGGAAGCAGCTGGCCGCGGTCAGCACGAATTGGCCATGGACCAGCGCGCCCCCGCAGAAGTGCCTGCCCCGATCCTGAATCGAGGCCAGGAACGGGAACTCCCGGGGCCGAGCCCTCCGGCCGCCCACGATGTCAGCGCGGGAGGCCGAGCCTGGGGGGACGCAGCTTTGAGGCCTCACACGGTGCTGGTGAGGAGGCTCGTGAGGCTCCCTCTGCCACCAGGACCCTCCAGTCCCAGCCCTGGCCACCCCATGGGGCCCCCGGGGAGACCCTGCCCTCCCACCCTCCCCTGCTCCCTAAGAGGACAGGTGCCCCCAGGCCCATTCCCCACCCCCACCCTTTCCAAGACTGGCCAGGGCCAGTGTTGGCTGCGTGACGGACGAGGCCAGGTCCTTTTCCTTGTCTGTGACTTGATTCTTGGGGAGCAGGAGCTGGGGCTAGCCAGTCCCTCCCACCCAGGCCTCTGTCCCCTGCACCTGGACCCCCAGAACAGATTGGGGATGCCTGTCCTGGGACCCCCGAGGCACTCACCAGCCCTCAAGGATGCCAGAAGGCCGGCCAGCAGGGCCAGGAGTCTCAGCGGAGGCATGACCCGGCAGCTAGGGTGGCTGCAGGCGGTGGCTCTCCTTATACCGGGGACCTCAGACGTTGGCAGGACCCCCACCTGGGACAGGGCCAGCTCTGCCCACGGGAAAACGGGAAGTTGCCCAAGGGCTCCACCACCAACCGCCCCCAGGACCAGGCTGGAGCCCCCTAACAGCCCCACACTGGTCTCGTTTCCCTCTGTGGATGGGCCACATCTCTTAAGTGCAGGTGAGGGCGATGGATGAATGACTGCTGAGGCCCAGGGCACGGCGGGGCACACAGCAGGCACCCACGGGCGTTAGCGAAAGTGAGAGCCACTCCTCACGCCGGCCTCAGTGGCTCCATCCTGCCCACGGGGCCTACACCGTGGAGCTCAGCGTGGTGGAGTCGCAGGCCTGGGATTGAGTCCTGGGGCCTCTGCGTGTGTGTTTTATTATTTTTTTACTTTTTTGTCCCATGGAAAAATTCAGATTTCAAATTCATATTTAATATCGAATACAGAAAGGACTAAATATAACTTTCAAAATGAAGTTCCCAAACACCCTAAATTCCAGTGCCCAACTACTGTGTATCAAAAATTTCAGGCGATGGATGTTTAGGAAGTTTATTTTTTTTTTTTACTTTTTTAACAGGAATACAATTCACATACCATACCAATCCACCCATTTATTTTTTATTTTTATTTTTATTTATTTTTTGTTTTTTTAAAAGATGACCGGTAAGGGGATCTTAACCCTTGACTTGGTGTTGTCAGCACCAGGCTCTCCCGAGTGAGCCACGGGCCGGCCCCAATCCACCCATTTAAAGTGTGTAATTCAGTGGTTTTTAGTATTTTCACAGAGTTGTACAACTGTCACCAGTCTGGGGCCGGCCTGTGGCTCACTCGGGACAGTGCGGTGCTGATAACACCAAGGCCCCGGGTTTGGATCCCACATAGGGATGGCCGGTTGCTCACTGGCTGAGCGTGGTGCTGACAACACCAAGCCAAGGGTTGAGATCCCCTTACCGGTCATCTTTTAAAAAAACAAAAAATAAATAAAAATAAAAATAAAAAT